TAAGCCTTAAAGTTCTGCATAATTAAGGGCGCGGCCACTTGAGTGACAGGTGGATTGCCGCTGGATGTCACCACCGTCCCACGCCCACTAGCTCAGTGGGCGTGGTTTCAGCAACCAGCTCCCGCCTCTTTGCCCATTTTTGATTATCCGGGAGTGACGCGCGGCCAAGATGGCGACGGCTGGCTCCGCCTACTTTAGGCTTCAAAACGCTCATCGGAAGGATGTCACCACCGTCCCACGCCCACTAGCTCAGTGGGCGTGGTTTCAGCAACCAGCTCCCGCCTCTTTGCCCATTTTTGATTATCCGGGAGTGACGCGCGGCCAAGATGGCGACGGCTGGCTCCGCCTACTTTAGGCTTCAAAAATGCTCTTCGGAAACCTACGGGTGACGTCACGGACACTACGTCCATGTTTTTATACGGTCTAGATATACACACACATAGGCCTATATTTTGTTTCTATATATTTAACTTTTATTACACTGTAGATCAAAACAAAAGAATGCTCAGTATTATTTAATTTTTTTTAATGAGAGAAAATACTTCTTAATTCTAAGAAACTGTAGTTTCAGGTTGCATTTGCACAACAAAATGAATTAAACATTTTAACTTGCATTATTATTAAATAAAACAAATCAAGATGTGCAATATAATTTTTTTTTTTTTTTATTTGAATGATGTTTGTCAGGTAAAACAATAGAATATCTCTTGCATATAGAACTCAGGAGTCACACCAAACAACATGCAGACTCAGACTCTCTGCATGCCTGAAGTGCTGCTAGCGACTAGAGTTATTTGTAACATATAAAAGGTGTAAATAAAATACAGCATATGCATATGATATAATATGAAGCATCCATAACTGTCATGTCTGTTAACACGTTATTACGGCTATTCAGTGCAGAGAAGGGAGACGAGTTGATCATTATTATAATGGACATCATTTGCTTTTTGAAGCATCATGACTTCATAAATCTAGCCCTTATAAATCCATAAATCATTGCTATTAGGACAAAGTGAGTGTATTTATTTTTCAGACAGGTCTCTATCTTTTTACAAAATGCTTACTTTTGATATAATAAAAAAAAAATGGGTGAACTTTGATCTCTTTTTTGCAAACATGAAATATAGTTGGATGAAAATGTAAATTTTACTATCAGTGCATAGCACCTCATTTGTGGTGGATAAACATGGCGATTTCCTTCAAATTTCTATCAAAGCATATTAATGTTGTAAAATGCAGACCTAAATGCAGAACTTAAATAGGGTTTTGTTCTTTTCGTAAAAAAATTTTCACAGTAAGGTTGACATTTTCATTGAATTGCTCCTACATTTTCGTCTTGGGACATAACATTGCCATGAACATTTAGAAATTACCTTAACTAATATAGTGAAAAATGCCAAAAACTGATGTGACAACATCTGAAGTGGTCCTCATATAAATTGCTACATCAGCTAATTGTGCAAGGGTTAGATTTACAGTTACAGTTAGGATTTAGCAAATCATCAACTATTGCTAACTGAAAAATAAACGTGTGTATATGGTTTTTGAAAAAGGCAGTGTGGCTTCCCACCTTTTTGATGCTGCTGGCATACTGTTTCATGGCGATCTTCTCCACTGTGCTCTCAAAACCAAAGAAAGATTTGATGTCCAGACTGGCAGATTGTTCAAAACATGTCCATTCTTCATTTTCTGGGTGAACCTACATTGGACAACAAGTTACGTGCCAACTTTGTTAATTAAATTGCCAATAAAAGAGTAGTATAAAAATAATGTTGTTAGTATCCGATATAACTATATCAGTTGTTATACTACTCTTGTATATAGGTGCATCTCCTGAGGCAATAATTAAAGCAAAAGGAGCCCCTACCAAGTATTGAGTACATGTACAGTAAATGAACATACTTTCCAGAAGGCCAACAATTCACTAAAAATGTTTTTTTTATTGGTCTTATGAAGTATTCTAATTTGTTGAGATAGTGAATTGGTGGGTTTTTGTTAAATGTGAGCCAAAATCATCACAATTAAAAGAACCAAAGACTTAAACTACTTCAGTCTGTGCGTTGAATTTATTTAATACACAAGTTTAACAATTTGAGTTGAATTACTGAAATAAATGAACTTTTCCACGACATTCTAATTTATTGAGATGCACCTGTAGTATAGAGTGGTGTAACAACTGATGTTGAAGTAAGAGATACTGACTACACTATTTGAACAACCAGATAAGATCTGAGTAAAAGAACACATTGGACATTTACTCCACAAGTTAACATTTGAAAAGCAAATAAGAATTGTACGAGTTGTAAGCACTGTGAATGCATACAATGCATGTGTTTCATTAGCCACATTTTGGTCGTTGGCTAATCTTCCAGGGAACCTGAGGTAGTAATATTGTACCTCAGAGCTTCTCCTCTGTAACACTCCCATAAATAGAATCTTCAAAGGAGGCCTTAGAGGATCTGACCCCATTAACTCTAACATCATTTACTCAGGCATGATGCATATGGCTACTTTACTTTAGCATTGCACAGTATTACCTGAATAATCTTTAAAAACAGTCACTAAGAGCTCTACAGTGCGTGCATAATTATATTAGGCAAGATGATATTCTGATCATATTTTTTTCCAAGCACATTTTACCAATTCCAAACCACATCAATCTTAATAACTACTATTAATTTTGAATGTAATCATTTATAAGTGATATTTAATTGTCCATGAAGGCTAGGAGTGAAAAACGTCTTCTATTCAGGTGTGCATAATTATTAGGCAGGTTTCCTTTACAGATAAAATGAGCCCAAAAAGAGATTTAACTCAGATTGAAGAGTCAAAAATTATTAAATGCCCAAGATACATTTTCAAAACTAATGCAATACAGAAATTGCAAAGTTAAGGTATGACCATTGGACAGCAAAATGCTCATTGGGTCAGCACAGTTAGAAAAAAAAAACAGGTGAAGAAAAGACACATGCTAACTGCAAAAGAATTAAGGATTAAGGTGAAGAATTAGGTGTGAAACCATCAGGAACCATTTAGTCTCCAGCACCACCATTTTCCAAAACAGCAACCTACCTGGAGTCTCCAGAAGAACAAGGTGTCAGATTTTCAGAGACTTTGCTTGGGTAAAAAAATCCTAAAAATATGACCCTCACAATAAGAATAACATGCGAAGTGTTGTGAAAGACATTAAGATTTTTTATAGGCTTTATAGACAGGTTGAGAGTCAAGTCAAGTCAAACTTTATTTATAGAGCACAACTTTAACACAACCGTCATTGATCCAAAGTGCTTTACAATAAAAGGTTAGATAAGAAGCAACAGAGATCAAAATTAAAAGAAAAAAATACATATAAATATATATAAATATATAAAATAAAAATATGTATATATACACCAAAAAAAACTAAACATCCAAAGAACCGTACACAGCATCACTCAAATGCAAGGGTGTAAAAATTTGTCTTTAAATTTGATTTAAAGGGGTCATATGATGTTGCTAAAAAGAACATTATTTTGTGTATTTGGTGTAATGAAATGTGTTTATGCGGTGTAAGGTTAAAAAAAACACATTATTTTCCACATACTGTACATTATTGTTTCTCCTCTATGCCCCGCCTTTTTGAAACGCGTCGATTTTTAC